GCAGCACCCACTTCAGTGCACAGAGAGAAAGGGCAGGGCTGGGGAATCAGTCAACAGCAGACACTTTTAGCGCATGAGGCATTCCTTTCCCAAGGGAGTCCAAGGGCAGCAATCTCATGATAAGCTCGAGTTTTTCCAGAGTGAGAGACACTAAGTTTCGAGCCTCTTTTTTTTTTCTTCTAATGTGCACAAGTTTGGAATCCTCTGTGGCAACGCTGCTTTTCAAGTGTTCTACTCCACTCTGTCACATGACACCAGGGCTTAACAGTTGCATAACCCCACACACCACTCTCTGAAGCGTTTGTTGTCATCAGGCACCAACAGGAGGGGCTCAGAAAAATCACAAGTGGATAGAGTCCCAGGTGCTTTCAAGCCATCTGGACCAACTGGGTCTACTTCACTGAGAAGGGAACGGAGATCCAAACAGGAAAAGACCCAGGCCTGAGCCCGGGACAGAGCAGGCCAGACACCACTATCTGTGTTTCCATGATCTACCAGAAAGAAAGGGGATGATTTACGTGTGCTGCTCCTGGAACCACAAAGCCATGGTACAACTGTGGCCCCAACTCTCTTCCTCCAACGTCCCATGAGGCCTTAGAAACGTGGCTAGGGTGTGAGCTCTAGGGCCACGTTTGGGCTCTGCCCCTGCCTACTTGTGAGACATTGGACAAGTTGCCCTGCCTCTCAGAACTGGGATGACAAGGGCACCTGCCTCCCAGGATCATGGCGAAGCTAAGCAAGCTATGTCTTCCAAGGCCTTAGAGCAGCGTGTGCACGAACTAAGTGCCACACCATACCATCACACATAAATAAACGCGGGAGTGTGGATCTGCCCAGGCGCAGTGCCTAGACACTGAGGCCTCAGGAGCGGCTCTGCTTCTGATGGGCATCTGCTCTAGGGGCAGGCTCCTTTCCCTCTCTGGACTCTGATTCTGCTCTGGAAAGGGGGACTGGGCACCTGCTGAGCGCCCCTCCTCCAGGCCTGCATACCTTCAGCCTCTCCCTGAGTCCTGATTACAGAACTGGGCCCGGGCCCAGTGAAACTGGAGCTGGAATGTTTTGTTCTGGGATGGAGGGAGTCCCATTTGCCTTTCAGAATTCACTGTCTGGTAACTCAGGCAGGGGAGCCCATCCCAGTGAAGGGGTTCATTGTACGGCTGGGACACTAATTCTACCACACCATCACCCCTCCTCTTTGGTTTCTCTTTTCTTCTCCCTGAACTGAGAGAGAGAGAAAGGAGCCTTTGAAAAAAAGTCACTTTTGAAACCGCAGTGGCTGAGAATGGCAGGTCTCTGGTGCCTGCTCCAGGACCCATGCCTCTCTCCAGACTGCAATCTGACTCCTGGCACCCTGTTCCCTGACCCGGTAAGCTGGGCAGCAGTCTGAACCTCCCGTTCCCTCCCCCTCCCTCCTGTGGTACCCACCGAGTAGCCTCTTTTCTGCCACCTTCCAGGTTGAGCGGGCTGCCTGGTACAGAGGCCACACCACCTGCTATTTGAGTAGGGGACTCTCTGTGGGAGTTCTTTGTTAGTTTAGGGGTGAAGCGGGGGTCCAAGCTAGCGCCTCACCACAGTCCTTGGAAACTAAAAATCTTGGTTCAGAGAGGCTCCGCCCTCCTGGGGCTGACACTGGGTTCTGACCCCTGTCATCACCTGCCCTATTTGCAGCCACAGCCTCAGCTGACCTCATCCCCACACTGCAGCTCAGGATCATGCCAACGAGCAAAGGGCCAGACACGGTAGGCAGGCAGGTGTCTGGAGTGCGGTGGGTGGTTACACTGCTCCCGGGAAATGGTACAGATTCCACTCCCTACAGGGTACATCTGTGGGGCGGGAAGCGTCCTTATCTTCAGGAAAAGCCTATGCCCACAGGAGCTCCCAGGATGCAAGGCTCCCACACGAACCCCTTTCACCTCCCATCTGGCCTAACACTTCCCAGGTTAGCACCCAAACCACTAAACCACATGGAATCGCCTCCCTTTGAGAGGCTCCCCAGGTCACCTTGCCACCTCCGTTATGCACTCCCTTTTTCTAGTCATATATGACTTTCCACAGAAACCACACTGAGACTCTTCCTCCCAGCAAACCCTGACACAGGGAACCACACTCAACTGGAATTCTTTGTTTTTATTCTTGACTTCAAAAACCTAGGGCGAGGTTCCAACCTCAACTTCTCTGTGGAAGCTCCCACCAGGAGGAAGCGATCCTCACTCTGAGCTCCATCTGTTCCTAGGGTGTAATTCATTCTGCCCACCTGGCACACCTTGGGCCAACCAGAGGCAGCATCTGTGCCAGGCTCCAGTGATGGCACCCAGCACCAAGACAACTGTGGGCAGTCACATGGCTTGTATTCTCACTCTTAAAAGAGATGCCCTCTTGTGGTTCTATGGAACAGCGAGCTAGAATAGTTGGAACAGAAACTCAGGCTTTCCTTTGCTTTGCTTCCATTGCTGTTTCCTCTGAATGGAGACAGCAGGGGAGGAAAGCCCTAAGACCACCAAGGCCTCTTGCTAGCCACCTTGAACAGCCCCACTAAGGAAGAAAATGAACGATTGGAAGCATTGCAAACAGCAAAATGGAGGTATACTAGTTAGATGGATGTCTTTCAGGGGACTGGGGACCAGCACTTAAACAAGCAGTCTAGGCTATCCAGGAAGAAGTATAGTCTGTAGATGAAAACGGTGCCTGAAACTGAGCCCTGAAAGGTCCAACCAACTTCATCGTTCCCCTGGTGGTACACAAGGCCTGGAGAAGGACAGACCACAGCCAGCCCAAGATCACATGTATCAAAGACAGGGCCCTGGGTGGGAGGCGGGGCATCTATAATCTGGCCTTGTGTGGTCCCTGCTGAGCCTTACTTGCTGTACCTCAGCAGTGATGGCCTGTGAAACTCTACAAAAGTGATGTTTGCTTTATGGGCCACTGCTAGGTCATAGCTGAGCAATGCCTGGCTTTAAAAGGGGCATGCAGGTTCCATCTTTAATGCCATTCATATCTGCTTCTGTTTGTGCTGAGACCTGGCATATAGTTACAGGCTGGAGACCTGTCCAGGAGGCTGGTGGGAAGGTCTCCAGTGGGGCTTGCCAAACAAGGCATCACTGAGGCGTCCCGACTACACAGGAAACCTCCTGAGCATTCCTAAATATGTCAACAGCGAAATTTGCTCATGAAACCTAAAACACACGAGAGGGGCCTTGGTGTTCTCTATTGCGCAATTTATTCCAACCTGTTCTGGGGTGGGGTGGTGGTAATAGCAACACAACAGCCCTCTGAGAACTGCTGCAGGGCTAAACCAGGAGGCGGGGCTTTGCAGTGTTAGCCGGGAGGTGAACCTTGCAGTGTTAGCCAGGGGATGAACATTGCAGTGCTAGCCAGGAGGTGGGGCCTTGCAGTGCTGGGGCAAGGCTCCCTAGGAGTCTACATGTTCTCTGAATCAGGGACCTCATGTGGTGCTGTTTCCCTCAGAGCCTAGACCCACAGGTCCAGGATTCAAGGTGGGGCACTGGAGCGGTGGCCCACAATGTCACCCTTAGCGAACCATTAGCAACCATTTTGCGTCTCTTCCGAAGGAGCAAAGGTTTCTGTCACAGGACGCACAATGATTCCACTGAGCAGGAGGTTAACACTGCCACCTGGCCTCTGACTTTCCTTATGCTTCAGAATTAACAGGTGAGCGGGGGGGGGGGGGGGGGGGCTGAAACTGACTACCACCTGCTCTGCAGCAGAGGTCCTGAAGGTGGGGGGCGGGGAACCCTTGGGGTAGCTCCTGGGGCTGCCATGGTGAAGGCTGGTGGAAGGCACCAACAGCCTAACCTGAGAAGAACTGTTAACACAAACCATTCAGGCATGAGGCTCAGGGTCACCCCATCAGGTCACGAACCACAGCCAGCGGAGGTGCTTGCTGAGGGCAGAGGCTGTGCTGGATGGGTGAAGGAAGAAGATTGTTAGAGATGCTGGCTGCCTCCGGCTGACTGCTTAGAGGAGCTGGAGCTGCCGCTGCCATAAGTATCCATCCCCTCCTCTTCCTCCCCGAACATGTATGAGCACAGCAAAGCTCCTTGACCTCTCACCTTCAGTCTTTTCATGTAGCACACACTGTATTCACACGTTATGGTACTATTTAAATATTAATTTTCCATCACGGTGTTTAAGTAAACATCCCCGGAGATTTTTAGCCTTCCCTCCTGAAGAGGAGGGATTTTTCTGTCATACAGAGTATCATGTTGGGCACAGTTATGACATGCTGTTGTCTTCATTTGCTAATAATTGCTCTGGTGTGAAGAAACACATATAGGGGCCAAGTTAACAAAGAGGTGGGCTTGTCATGGGCAATTCTATGAGTCACCTTGCCTGAGCTGTGGGTTGCCAGGCGTCTGGTTGGATGTTATTCTAATTGTATCTGGGAGGGTGTTTCTGGGGGAGATGAACATTTGTGTCTATAGACTGAGTCAGGCAGATGGCCTCTGTGACGTGGGAGGGTCCATACCATCTGTCACAGGCCTAAATAGACCTGAGGAGCTGACCCTCCCCTAGGAAGGAGGATTGCCTCCTACCTAACGACCTCAGCTGGGCCACAGTTTCTTGTTTTGGGCCAAAAACATCAGCTTGCCTAGGTCTTCAGCCTATGAGCATTTAGGTCAGACTGGCATCATCGGCCCTCCTGGACTCCAGCTTGCTAAGTGCCCATCTCAGGGCTTGTCAGTCTCCAAAACTGTATGAACCAATTGCTTATAAATCTCTCAGTAGGATATACATTTACTCGCGCACACACACACACGCCTTACTGGTTCTGTTTTTCTGGAGAATCATGAGTCAATACAACATTTTAAAAATAACCCTGCCAAGGCAACACACTGTCATATAAGGAGAAAGACACTGGTGGCTTTGAGAATGGCCCACCCGCCCCTCCCTCAAGCGGCTATCACACTGCCCCTTCACCAAGTTCCCGGGGCACTGACCATCCCCCCCCCAAGACCAGTGTCCCCTCTTCTGCTACTCACATCAGGGTCTAGCTCATCCAGCTCATTCTCCAGAGTCCTGAGCTCCTCCTCTGTGAGGGCCCCCAAGATTTCATCTTCATCCAAGTCACGGTATTTCTCCAGCTCGCGTCTGTAGGACATTGTGGAAGGGTGTGTCCTTGTCTTCCGAACTTCTGGGCTAACTGGTGACCTGACAGGAAGAGGAAAAGCCCTTGAGATAGCCCCTTGTCAGAGTTTCCCTCCAGCAGCAGGTGGGATGTGCTTAAGAGTGGCTAATTTGGATTCCTCCTCTCTCCACTTCCCAGCAAAGGGCAAGCCCTGAAGGTGTGTGGTTTAATGATTTGTATTTTATTTCTTTGATATGTGTGTGTGACATGTATAACTGCATCTGTGTGTGTGCGTGTGCGCATGTGACAGAGGATGACCCCAGGTGCCAGTCCTGCTTCCCCCCACCTGTGAACACCAGGTTAGCAGCCTGCAGGTTTCAGGGTTTCTCCTGCCTCTGCCATGCTCAGCTCTACGAGGGTCCCAAGGATTTTCACTCAGGTGCTCCTGCTTGTGTGGTGAGTGCTCCACCCTCTGAACGTCTGCCCAGCGCAATGGAATACATTTTAGTTGGTGCCAGTCACTGGAAGCAAATGGGTGACTATCAACGGTGCGAGCACTTGACGGCAAATTTATTCTTAAGGAGTTCCGTTATTCTCCAGACAATCTTCTCAGTGTCCCAGTGGGAAGGGCCAGCAACTGTCAGATTAGTTTTTTAAAGGAGGAGGGTTAAATGAGCACCCACAGCGTCCAGGCACCCCACCTACCACATTTTCGTCAATCCCTATTGTAACTTAGGTTTTGATATCAAACACACAGCCACCCATTAAGCACCACACAGGTTCTCCAGTTTGACACGCACGTGAGTATTTAGTGATATCTCCTTTCCTAGAGGACACTGGGCTGAGGGAGGTTCAGTGACTCACCTAACCCACACCACCTAGAAGGGGTAGGTCAACAATTTGAACTCAGGTCTTCGGGCCCTCTAGCATTTCTGTGGTGGAAGCTTTTTCATGGATATCATGGTCAAGAGAACCACGGACTGGATCCCTCATTATATTCCCCGGGAAGAAGTGACTTATCCAGGGGAACCGAGTCTGTGCCTGCCACCCAGGCTGCTTTCTCCCGTTGGATGCCACCCAACACCCATAACATGACCATTCACACCTGTGAACTCATTCTAGCTGGGGCTCTAAGTGAGATATTTTATCAATGAAGAAATTGAAAGATGGCCTTGCTCAGGGTCCCTGACAGCTGTGGGTGTTCCTCTGCCACACTGCATAAGCCTCCCTCTAGTCTGAGGGGGGCAGCAAGGCCATGAGCCCTTCTCTCCCTTAGCCTGACTAAAATAATAACATGACAAGGCTGGCCTATCTGTCACCTCCCTAAGAAGTCCTGGCAATTTCTCATGAACCTGACCTCACTGTGGCTCCAGTACCGGGTTCATGCCTCTTTAATCCATTTCTCCCATGAGGCCCTTGTTCCTTACCCTCATGGCCCAGCTTATAGCAGGAAGCTTCTCACTAACACCATCCCAGCCTGCTTTTCTACTTGTCTTTGGTATCACGGAGGAGGCTTTGGACTTTTCTCCTCTTGGAGAATGCAAGCTGCTGCAGATTTCTGGCTGTGGGTCTGCCCCCCCCCCCCCCCCCCCGTCTCCTATCCCAGAGAGAAGACTGAGACAAGACAATCAATCCACTTAAATCCTGTGATTTGCTAATTAAGGACAATCAAGGAGTCCACTAGCCACCAGAAGAAGCATCCACTTTGGAGAGCAGGGGCATATTTAATGCAAATCATAGGAAGGACAAGCTTCCCAAACTGAACCACGCACTGTCCTGTTCTCTGAGAAAGCCTCAGCTTTGGCTGAAGTCTTCCTTTGACCAGATCCCAAGAATGTAAAGTTCAGATCATAAATGCAACCCCCCCCCCATTCATTTCCATTTGCTTTTGGGTGACCCGCTACAGATGCGACTGCTGAACGCCCTTGCGCAACAGCCTGGTACTGGAGGCCTTAAGAGATAGGGCCCACTGGCAGGTTACCTCGTTCCAGTGGACGGCCCCACACCCAGGGGTACATGGACAGCACACATTGGACTCAATGGGTCATTCAAAAAACGATGCCATGATGTTGGGGGCAGGTAGGGAGGTGGGGATAGATCTGGGAGGAGTAGAGAGATGATATCAAAATAGACTGCACGAAATTCTCAAAGATCCAATAAAAATACCATATATAGTTAGGAAAAGGCGAGGCTTAGTTGGAAGTGGTTAGGGAATTGCCAGTGTCGCCTCCTGGAGGGACCAATTCTGGTCTTGTGGGGTGAGTTATTTACTACCAGAAGAGTTGTGATAAAAGAATAAGAATAAGATTATTTAAATAAGCCCTTGGCCTTAAGATGCCCATTGCTGTGATAAAACACTGACCAAAAGCAACTTGGGGAGGAAAGGGTTTATTTCACCTCACAACTCTTGGGTCCCTCTCCCTCCTGAGGGGAGTCAGGGCAGGAAGCTGGAGGCAGGAACTGAAGCAGAGGCCATGAAAGAGCGCTGCTTACTTTGTTACTCTCCACAACTTGTTGATGCAGATATCTATATATCTCCTAGGACCACCTGCCCACAGGTGGGCTGGTCCCTCCCATATCAATCAATCATTCATCAAGACAATGTCCCACAGGCTTGCCCACCGCCCAATCTATTGAAGGCATTTTCTCAGTTGAGGTTCCTCTTCCCAGATGACTCTATCTTGTGTCAAGTTGACAAAAGAGGCAGCCAGGACCCCCGTCCCCTTGCTTTCTGGACCACAGTCGTGCCATGTGATTTCCGCTTCCGCCATTCCTGCCCACCATGTTTCTGCGGCCATGTTATGATGTGGCCTAGAGGACTCTCACTGCAGGGGAACGGATGGGGCTGCCTGACTCTGGATTTTCACCTTCAAAACTGTGCACTAAATAAAGTTCTTTATCTTTAAAAGTACCCAGTCTCAGGTGTTTTGTCTTAGCAATAAAAAGTGAGGGTCAGGCAGTCCTCAAAGGCTTTAGAATGTACCAAGTCCCACAAGACGTGGACAACAGGACTTCTCAAAACTTTGAATATACAGCTAGCTACACAAGAGATGTGTCCAGCAATAACGTGCAGTAGAATTCCCAATTCCTTGTCATGACATGAGGTCTCTAAGACACTTCTCCACAAATCAGAATCTCGTGAAACAAACTTTGGAAAACACTATCTTAGAGTCACTTCCAGGTCATACTGGGGAGCCATCACACAAGAAGAGACGTCATAGGGACAGACGTCATCGGAACAACCTGAGAGCATCCAGACAGTGCTGAAACCTGGGAGTGTCCCACGCTTGTTAGTTTTTGCTAGTTGACTCATTTTCTGGGGGCTTTTCAGTAAGATTTTAGGAGAAGAATCACACACACGTGGTTCCTAGAGAATGGGTGAGCTAGAACCCGCGAACATGGACAGAGGCATCCACGCGGAAGACAGCTTGGGCAGAAGTTGTTGGGGAAGAAGCCAGATGAGAGAGGTAGGTGGCAACTCTGGGACCTGCTGAAGAAGAGTATCAGGCCCCAGGAAGCCACTGGAGGAGACGCCATCATCCAATTTCAGGGTTCTTCTTGTTGCATCCAGGGAAGTTATACTACGTCTCCACCCTAAGTCATTACTGAATTCAAAATCTCTACTTCATAGGGTTTTTAAAGCCCTTTTGAATGTCAAGTGTCTTGTGAAGATTACAGAGGTAAGGAGGCATTGTGTTAAATAAGCCAAGAAGAACAGAGAATTCTTTGTCAGCCTCAAGCCCCACTCATCTGGTTGGCTCACAGGGTGATTCTGCCTCAGCAGTAGCTCTCAACATGGCCCTCCGGAAGCAGAACAGCTCTGTTGTTTTGATTTGCCTTAAAACTGGGTCCTGCCTTAAGTGTCAGTATGAAGAAGAAAAGAGGAGCTGAAGAAATTTGAAAATACCCTCTCATACCCAAACCTTTGCAATCCAGTGTGTCGATTACACTTTGGGCAGACCTAGTCAGCCACCAGGTTCTTCACTGCACAAACCTCAAGCAGCCGGGAAACATAAAACAATGAATTTACAAGCCGGGGCATGGGGAATAAAACCCTCCAGGTTGCACAGTAAAAATTAGCAGGTCAAGGCAAAGGCTATCTATCATCGAGGCCAAGGCCACAGAAACCGAAAGCCCCTGGCAGAGTGGCTCCAGAGGCATGCAATGCTTCTTTGCCCTGTCATTAGGGAGGGGTGGACCATTCCGGCAGTGGGTTCTCCAGTGTCTGCTATGGGGGGGGGGGGCACTTGAGGAGGAGGCACAAGGTGACGCCATCTTGATGTATGACGATCTCTCCCAGTTCAGGGAGGACTGAGCCATGATTTTGAAGGAATACGCTCCATTTATGCCACCTTATTTGAGCCAGGGAACATCTTGCAGATGAGTTGGCATGTCATCCTTAGTCTTTGACTAAGTTTCTCTTTCAGAAGACATGTCAGCTGTAGGATTCTATGCCATGGCTCTTCATGATGAAATCCTGCATCCCAGAGTACATGGTTTGTCCTCTTCTCCTGAATCTCCCTCTTCTCTAGCTTTAGGGCCACAAGAGCATCTCGTGTACAGCGTCCCTTGTACCTCCCGGAGAGCTGTCTCTCCTATGCCCTCCTTCAGGAAGAACCTGATCCTTCTCCACTCCCAACTGAGCCCAGAGTTCGGGACTAAATGGGCAAGGGCCTATGGTGTAGCTTAGGATAGAGGAGGAGGAAGAGGAGAAGGGGAAGGGCCAGGAGCTCCTGTGGAGTCTGTCAGCCTCCAGGGACCAAGCACCTGGGTCAGCCCAGCCACTGTTTCTGCCCCTCCAGCTCTGTCAACCCCACGCCTGACACTCTTCTCTTTTTATTGCTAGATTTTCTTTTTCCCTGTGATAAATATACATCACATGACATTTTTACTGTTTTTGGAGGATGCTGGGGACGGAACCTAGGGCTCCGTGCAGCCAGGTGCACCCTTTCCTAATGAGCCACAGCCCAGCCATTCACCATTTTGAAGCGTCCAGTTTTACGGCACTCGGACGATTCAGTACCTTCTCTTGTAGCTGTCACCACCACCCATCTCTGGAATTCCTTCATCTGTCTCAGCCAAA